GCAATGAACTCCGAGGGTTTCCAAGAGGGGGACTTAGTGTTGCTGTACAATCCACAACGGAAGAAAGGTTTGTCCCCAAAACTACAATGCAACTGGGAAGGTCCGTATAAGGTCGCCAAACGGCTGAATGACGTAGTGTATTGAATCCAGACTGTTGGGAGATCAAAAAACAAGATGAAGGTGGGTCCACTTGGAAAGGTTTGCATCGTTTGGCACAGCAAGTGTGTCTGATCGGGACGATCAGACTTAGGTGGAATGCAGTGTGACGACTACTGCGGCAATACAAAGCGAACAACGAGAAATAGGCAGAATTTTCGAGGAAGGACGTAGAATGTTCCTCAAAGAGAAACGTCAAGTTGGATGAACACTGCGAACAGCGAGAGAAAGAGAATGAGCGATGAACTTCAGAACGTTCGAGAGTTGCCATGAGTGCGAGCGCAAGTATATAAAAGCGCAGTTAGTCAACGACGTAGCGTAAACGTAAGGTGACGTACGTAGCAGCATATGAAATTTACTGTTGATAGAGAGAGAGGGAAGCAATGGCAACGTCACCGCCATGCGGTGGTGAGTTTTCGTTAACACGCGAATCCCATAAGGTAGATCGTGTCTACGTCGACCTACGTCTACGCTATGTCGTTGGCTGTTTGAGCTTTAAGAGCCACGACACAGCGGAGTTGAGTTAGTTACAAGTCACGTATTGGATCGGACTTTTTCTCCGGGTAAAAACGGATAAAGCGTCAAAGTGCATATCAGCTGTTTTGTGTTTACATGTTGCCTGTTTCTAGTGATGTGCTGAGTCAATACTTTTAAGTATTGATCGATATTCGATACCGATTTAATAAGTATCCAATACTCTCGATACTCGGTACCGAAACATTTAGGCTGCGTTTCTTTATACATTCCGGATAATCCCATTTCACAGCCGGAATAAACAGAATACGTTTGAAATATACCTTAGGTTTCGAATAAAAGCGCACATAGGCCAAAAATATGGAAAAATCGGTTCAGGGGAGACTCGCCTATAAAATCCCGAATGTAGGAGCCAATAGAACTTTTAGTACGGATTCAAATGAAAGATGTATATATGTCTGTTCGAGGCCATAATGCAGAGACACTCTTAAACTATGTTCACATATCAATATTATCTCAATCAAAGCTCGTTTTTTAATCACCCCGTTTACACAGGCAAATCTCAGATTATTAGCCGTCAAATTTGTTGTGCTTGTTATTCTCACATCTCACGGAAAATTTATGTTTCTTCTCTGTGCCACCGTGATCACGTTTTTCTGCTATAATAACCAATATAAATATATTTTAACTTAACATTTTATTAAAAATACCTTTACAAACCTCTTTTACTTGCTAGCGTACATTTTTGTTTACTTTTACATTTGGCATTTCTCCTCTCTTTCGCAAAAACAATCGATAAAACTAGGATAGACACCGAAAAGTTATCGGTTAAATGATGCCCTATCAGATATAGATTGGAGTTATACTTTCCGTGGCAGTGATGTAACCTCTTGTTACCGTATTTTTAAGACCACCCTCTATGAGCTATGCCTTCAGTACATCCCTATTCTTAAGAAGAAGGTGTACAAACTACCGTGGTACACGAAGCGTTTAAAGCATCTAAAAAATTTAAAAAACAAATTTAGCAAATTGTATAAATCCTCAAACGACTCCGCGCATCTTCTTAAGTTCCGGTACTTTCTAAAAGAATTTAATTGTTTGAACAAATTTTTATACCGAAATTATATTTTAAACTTTGAAGCTAATATTATCTCGAATCCCAAATCTTTCTGGCGTTTCATTGATTCCCGAAAATCTTGCTCATCAATTCCAACAAATGTTTTCTACAATGGTCGCTCCGCAAATTCAGCCTCTGACTCGGCAAACCTATTCGCTGAGTTTTTTTGCGCTAACTTTGTCAATGACATGGACTCGAATATAACGGGCTCTAGCTCTTCTAGTGACTCTTCGCTGAATTTTGGTTCGCTAACCATTTCAACCGAGGACGTTATCAAAGGAATTGGTGATCTTAAGCCATCTTCACAAGGCGATGTAGAGGGTTTCTCGGCTTTTCTGTTGAAAAACTGTCTATGTTTAGCTGAGCCTCTTACTGCAATCTTCAATCACTCTCTGGCCTCGGGCATATTTGTGGACGACTGGAAACAAACGTCTGTAACCCCTATCTTTAAAAGTGGGAATAAAAATGATGTCCGCAACTACAGACCGATATCAATGCTATCTTCAGTCTCCAAATTATTTGAGATTGTTGTAAGCTGTAAACTGTCTTTTGCTGTTAAAAACCTAATTTCTACTAATCAGCATGGGTTCGTCGCTAACCGCTCAACAGTCACAAACTTGGCTATTTTCCGTGATTACTGCTTATCTGCTTTTGAAAACAAAGCTCAGGTGGATACCATCTACACTGACTTCTCGAAAGCTTTCGACAAAGTATCACATCGTTTACTTCTGCTGAAACTGATCTCTTTTGGATTTCATTCGACATTTTTGTCTTGGGTTAAATCCTACTTAACTGATAGGCGCTGCTTTGTAGTAGTCGATAATGCAACCTCAAAACCGTTCATCGCGTCCTCGGGTGTCCCTCAAGGCAGCATTCTCGGTCCCCTATTTTTTGTGCTTTTCATCAACGATATCAGTTCTTGTTTCAAATTTGCTAATTACCTACTTTATGCTGATGACCTTAAAATATTTGCAACTATCAAAAACCTTTATGACTCAGCCAACCTGCAATCGGACCTGAACAGAGTTCATGAATGGTGCTGCAAAAATCAGTTGACGCTAAATATCGGCAAATGCTTTCATGTATCTTACAGTAGACATCTCAATACTTTGCATACATCATATTCTATCTCTGGCTCTGTTTTGCAATCTGTGACCCAAATGAAGGACCTTGGTGTTGTCTTTGACTCCAAACTCGCATTCAATAGTCATGTCGATTACATCCTTTCGCGCTCATACTCGATGTTAGCTTTTATCCGCCGAAACTGTCAGGCGTTTACGAACCCTTACACTCTTAAAACTCTGTTTTGTGCACTTGTCAGGTCAAGACTGGAGTATGCAACGTTTATTTGGAGGCCTTACACTAAAATTCTAGCTAAACGATTAGAACGTGTTCAAAAAGTTTTTATAAAATTTGCTCTCCGTTCATTAAATTTTTCTTTGCCACTTCCTTCATACTATTCTCGCTGCCAACTAATCAACCTTACAACACTGGATAACAGAAGATCCATTTTAGCGTGCACGTTTGTCGTTAACATCATAACTGGCTCAATTGACTGCCCTTCTCTTCTAGAAAAGATTGCATTTAATATTCCCTCTAGAATCCTCCGCCATTGGGATTTCTTTAAAATAGATTTCTCTAGAAGCAGTTATGGTGCCAACGCTCCGATCTCTAGAACGTGTGCTGAACTTAACCTAGTCTTCAATGCTTTGGACATTGATTTCTCACAATCAGGCCCTGCCTTGGTTACTCATCTGCGAACATTTTTCTCTGCGCTATACCACTAGCGATGTATTTAATCTTAGCTCTTGTGAACTTAATGTATTTAAAATTTATCTTAATTTTTAAGTTTTAGTAGCACTTAATTAGTGTTAGCTGAGTAGTCTGTAAGAATATTCTGTATTCCAAGACTGAAATAAATAAATAAATAAGTAATTATTTTATAATTACAGATTAACAAGGGACGAATTTTATATGGCTAATCTCTTGTTATAATTACAGATTAGGGTGTTAAGCTCGAAAATGAGGATAATCGACTTATATGTGAACCTAGTATTACTTGTTTGAAGCATTTTTGTTCCAGCTGTCGCTAACTGGTTACAGAATCTCCCCTCTGAAAGGCTTCTTCATCCGTAAAAGCATTTTTCTTGAACTTTGAATCCACTAATATTAAAACTGATAAAATAATATTTCCCTATTGCGATAAGTTCAAGTGTTTGAGCCGATATCATATAAATTAGTAATTAAAGTTATTTCTAAACTTGAAATGCATATAATGGCGAAAGTTTAATGTAAAGGATCGGTATCGGGTACCAAAAAGGAAGTATTGGGTACCGAAAGCTTTTTTAAGTATTGCGTACCGAAAATTCAGCACATCACTAGCTGTTTCACAAATTCTGGGCACGAAATGTGGATTTTTGCATTCCCGTACTTCTGGATTATGTTCCATTTTTGAGAGCAAACTTTTCGCTTATTCTCTTATTACCGGATCCGGTCCGGATTGTTAGGGAAAGAACCTATTGCTTCCAGGGTACCGTTCCTTATTGACTGTAGCATACTAGGACAATTTAGAGATCTCAATTAAGCCAATTAAATTACATATATACAAATACATAAATAAGTTGCACACAGGTAAAATTAAACGAGAACCTTTCAAAAATCTTGCAAATCTACTATTTCACAATTGAATTAAACCATTCAATTTGTAGTTGCCACCTATCACATATCAGAGTTTTGTTTTGTTAAAATTATTTTACTGCCGTACAAGAAAAGTACTTTTTTCCTGACCTCTTGACGAAGACACGTGTCTAGTACTATAATAAACACCAATAGTACTATAATAAACACCAATGCACAGAAAACCATTTTTAAAAATTACCTTAGGAAATACAATAAGTAGAAAGGGACGCATAGTCACATGTACACAAAAGAACTGTTCAGGTTTTTCATATAACCAACGAACGTAATTTTATATATATAATACATAAATCTATATCTATATATATCTATATATATAGATTTACGTTTTTTGTTTTAGATAAAAAAAAAAATCATGTACTGGCAACGAATGCTTATTGAATCACGCTGGCAACGTGCTGTTGTGATGAAATGTCATTCTATATATTCAACTACATCTAAGTTTTCGTATACTTTTCCTACTTCCTTTTCCGTGTTAGCTGTGAAAGAAGAAACATGCCGGTGGGTGTCAAATTCTACGAAAATTTACAAATTTATGGCAAAAAA